GCTTATTTTCATCGATGAGGTCAGCGCTGAGTTTAAGTACTTCCTCATTGTCGAACTGAGATATTCTTTATTTATGTATTTATTTAAAATTAAAATACCTACTATTTATAAGGCTATCCTAGGAAATTAATAATGGTAACAGTGGAACGGATGTTATATTGACAAAATGGAATCATTTTTAATAAGGAACTAATAATTCCAATAGAGACAACTAAACTGGATAACACCGGATATTGGGACGTCCTTCCTGTCTCGCCAGACAGCCAATCTAATTATCTATAACTATATTAAGTTTGCAAAATGGCTGCCTGGAGGCTTCCTTAATATCAAAAACATTTAGTCTTTCACTGTCCACGGTTCGGTTCGGGTGTTTCTAAATATGTGGTTATTCGGATATGTTGTGTGTTAGTTATTAATAATATGTGTGTAATATAAATATATATATATATAGTGTGTGTATTTATTTTCGTCATTATCAATTTTTTGTTAAAAAGTGATTTACAAATGTGTTTTATCCCGGTTAGAAAAAATGGATGCCATCTCAATTCTATATTCATATTTAGATTTTTCATTAACAATTAAAAGAAATCACGAATATAATGGTGACTTTATAAATATTTCAAAACTGTAAAATAAAAATATTTATTTAGTAAATTTAAAAATTAATATTTTTTCACAAGAAAGGAGTGTATCTAAATTGAATTAATCTTTAGAATCCGTTGCTTATATTATGAACATATTAAAAACGTATAATTGACAACTTAGGAAAAAAATATTTAAAAATTAAATTTACTTCTATTTAACTCTGTAACGATGATACTCGTTTTTTTTTTAATATAATGTAAGGTATTATATTAAAAAAAACGAGTATCATCGTTACAGAGTTTTAAAAATTTTATTTTTTAAAATTTTATTTCGACTAATTATAAGGCGTTGATCTTCATGATAATAATAATAAGCCTTGTTATCACTCGTGTCCCTGAGTATGCCTGCCTATCTCTAATGTAACATTTATCGGTCATCGCTTTTCCTACAATTCTACTCGTAATTACTTCAGATCGCAGTTTTCTATTAAATGTTGAATATTTATTTTAATAAATTTCTGATAATTGATTGTAAGTATGAATGATCGCTTTGAGAGTAGTGATTCATACTGCATTTTTTAATAATCATAATGCTGCAGATAGCAGGGGTTTTTTATTCGATGATTTAGAATCCCTTTCTTAAATATATGAATATTTAAAAATCTAACAAGAGTTTATAATCATAACATTAAAAAATAATAATTATTTTATATGCATATAACAATAATTATTTTAAAATTATAATTAATTTATCGATATATTATCATTATTATTGTTTTGATTAATCTCTTACTTTGTTAGCAAAAAAAAAAAAAAAATGAGTAAAAATTTTGATAACACTGCATTTAACTGATTTTGTAACCCATACTGTTTTCAATTAATTTTCAATTTTAATTTCAAAATGTGTTAATTTAATATAATATAACTACATAAAACTAATTACATTCCTTGCAATTGGTGCCTTAAATATATTTCTTTAATTTCAGAAACAATAAAGGTGCTTGTTACTAAAAATATATATATATATATATATATATATATATATATATATATATATATATATATATATATATATATATATATATATATTATTTATACTTTTTTAATATGGGCTTGTAAAGAAATTGTGAAAAATATATAAAAAAGCTGTAGCAAATATTTATTTATTCTTTTCAAGATTTCAATTTTCGTGAGAGATTGAAGAGGTCCATTATGTCAGCGGTTAATCTGGTTCATCATTATCTCGATGATTTCACCTTTCGGCTCGATTAATCAGACACCACAATTATTTTTTTCTTGTCAACATCTCGATTGAAATGGCTGTAACTTTCAATTATTCGTTGTTTTTCAAATAAACGTGTTTTTGAAGCGCGAATTGTAAAAATTATTTGCATTAAAAAATCCGTTAAGTACAAATTAACGAGCAATTCAGTCACAGACATTACAATTGATTTTCAAAAAACAGAACATATAATTAAATAATAATTTTATTATATTTTCCATTGACGATTTGCTTATGTTTTTATGAATCTGGTTAATTTTGAGGAAAAGGTTTATTGTAAATTAGGATTTTAACATGATTATCTTTTTTGGTTTACATGGTTACACCAATCTTAGTTTACAGTCCCTGATATAGACTTTTTTTTTTTTTATCAAATTATTAACATCTGTCAGAACTTCGTGAATAGCTTTATCTTATCGGAACCTACAAATATTTTATTTACGAAAATTCTCGGAATTGGGGCGTTTTCAATCTGGAGAGCTACAAACTTTGTCTATTTAATTAGCTACTAAAAACTCATTTGATTTTCACTTAAATCGTAAGATAATTTACTAAATAAATCTAAAAAAAAAAAGGTGGCCTACAAAAATATTGGGCCGTTAGGCCTATATAACCTCTTTATTTTAACATTTTGAGGGTGAAAGTCACGCCAAACGGAATAATATTTCTGTAGGTCACCTGTTTTTCGACATAGTGATCATATTGTGCTACGATTCGAATGGAAAGTAATTGGGTATTCATGAGTTTTTGGTACCTATTTAAACAGACAAAGTTTGCCGATCTCCAGATTGAAACGCTTCAATCCCTAGAATTTTCGTAAATAAAATATTTGTAGGTTACGATTAGATGAAATTATTTATGAAGTTTTTGGTGGATGTTAATAATTTGTTAAAAAGGGGTTTATACCATGGACTATTGCTATATAAACTGTAGAAAATTTTAAAATTGTTTAATTTCACATACCCTCATATGAAATATATTGTTTGGAAATTTACAGCAATACTAAACAAAATAAATAAATAAAATTCAAATTTGCAACAGAAATAACACGATGTGAAGTGATTAAGTTGATTACTTCCCTATCGTTATATTTATATACTTCAACTGTTATATTTCACTTACACATAATATTCGAAGAAGAGTTTCTGGAGGAATTTCGATGGTCTACTTATATATGTTTTCGCAGTTTACTGATAACATTACCCGATGTTCATGATAACAAACCAAAGGTGAATGTCAGAATTTTTTCAAAAGATCCACATTTTGCCACTTCTGCACAAATTAATTCTGCACAAATATAGAGAAATCCTTGAAGATATTTTCGTAAGTCATTTGTTTTCCTACGATTTTTATAAATAATTACAAGAATCGTTTAATATTTATAATTATAAATAAAAAATTAAGGAAATCACAAATAATGTAGCAACGTTTATACGTTTTGTATGTAATCATTAAGGTCAAACGAACTGAATCGAATGCAGGATTACTGTCCAAGGGCCATTAACAGGGGAAGGGATTTATTTATGGGCTGAAGTTGGTTCCTGAAAAGGCGTTTAAATGTAAAAGATTAGAGTTCAAAAAGTTTTGAACTGCGAAAGAATGGAGTTAAGCCAAGTAGTACAGGCAGATATTCACAATCTTAACTTTAAGGAGCTTGTCCGAAGCTCTTTCGTTTAAAAGATAAAGCGTTGAAACGATGTATTATAACATTTAATCCACTTTTTTTTTTGTTTCCTTTAATGAAGCTAGAAATCATTATATTTTCAACCTGTTACTCCTGGCGAGTTGCAGATTTTTTTTCGGTTGAGAGAAGGCTTTGTTTGTGAAGTTATTGAGTGAGCAATTTGTGAGGGATGAAAAAAATGACCTAGACGTGGAGATATTTCAGAGTGTAAATTGCAATGTTAGCTTTTATTCCTGGAGCCCGTGACAAAAAAAGGTGTCATATTTCATAATAAAATTTTTCATTACAAATACACCATATCCACAGGACTGATAAGAAAAATGCACGTCGGTCAGCATGTAGCCGCTGGAATACAAAATGGCGGTCTTGTGAAGATACAACAGATCCTACATAGGTTTTAAGCGTATATATACAAAAGGCCTCAGGATATATAAAGCTACAATCCCTTCCAATTTATAGTATTTACAATCCTAAGACATGAAATAATATTCGGTTACTAAATATTGGTGGATTTCAAGTTGAAAAATTGAATTTACAAATTAAAAAGTTTTTTTTCTGTTTTTCGCTTATATAAGTGAATCTATTCGTTCTATCTATAACAATGTGATATGTAAAATTAAAGCTGACAAAATTTTCAATAGAAATGATTATGTTAGTTTTTTTCGCTATATTCTATAATTTTCGTGATAGCCGTCCTCGTAATTCACTATTTCCAAAAAAACATTTTTTTGCACCGCATTTTTATCATTATTTGACTCAACAACGCTTTATCTTTTGATATTATTAATAAATCATGAGGAAGAAAGTTGTTTAATATTAAATAATCTTTAAGGATATACATTACTTTACAATCTTATCTTCAACCACTCAAAGGATAGAGCAATTATAACTTAATGATTAAACTATGAAACTATACAGAATAAATTATTTTTCGTAATTTTCGATATTACACAGCACTTAATCCATGATCTAATGATCAATTTATAAGATCAAAGCTTAGTATGAAATATGAAACCATTTTTGTCACGTTCTATGTCGTTTCTCTATCCTCATTCAAAATTTACTTTCTCTTAAAGTGGGAGTTTAAACATTTTCTATCGTCAAATTCGAAAATGTCTACGCGTCCATTACAAATAATTCCAAATGAACTTAAAGAAATATCTTAACATATTCATAAATGACCACTACACATATATACCTCACTAGCCTAGTGCATATATCACTCCAGGAGGAGGTACCGCTGGGTACTGCTCTCTCTCGTCCGTTTCATGCCATTACTTACATTTATAAATATTTTTGACTGGTGTGAATAAAAAAATATAAGTTGAAAAAAATCGAAGATACCGCGATTATTGAATTATTTATTTATATTCATTCATTCATCATTTTACAGAAATTAATTTTATTTAAAAATGTATCCGCTATATTATATTTAAATAAAATAACTTACCTCAGATAGCTGGGTGCAAGTAGATGATGTAAAGTACAGCTTTTCTTTCTCAGTTGTTTAGTTTATTGCACATTATCGCGACATATCCTGAAACAAGCAAACGGTCACTTAAGATATGTAATAATTTAAATCTATTTAATATTAAATATTTATTAATACATTAAATTAAATTAATACATTACATAATATATTTCGAAGATGGGAAGATTGTGTTAACGCCGATCTGAAGGGACTGGGTTTGGACGGCGAACGGTGGAGAGATGTATGTAATAAGCGATTGGTGTCGACATCGAACCTTTGGGTTCGCTAAGCCTTTTATTATTATTAGTTAATATATTGAATGTATACCATAGTTGTAAAAGACGTGTTTTTGTATTTAATAGTAATTAAATGAAGTAAGTAACCATCATATAATTGTAGATTATTCAGTATATTATTTTGTTCTACATTTTAAGGTTGATTTTTTTATTTTATAATTAAAATTCACAAACTAATGTTCAATTATGAAATCATCCCATAACGACCATGAAAATTTAAACATCTTATATAATTAGTTTATAACATTAAATACATGAACTTTTCGAAGATTAGTAATGTGCGGCTTTAGAGAAAAATATTTTCCGCCATGATAAGATTATGATAAGAAGACATTTTCTGAAGTGTTGGCAAATAATTTGGAAATCTATCTCGCGTTATTTTATATATTTTGCTTCCTCACTATCGAAGGTATTTTCATACGCGAGATTATATATATTTGCCTTCAGAATATATTTGTTTCTCTTACTTCTTATATTTTACACATCAAGGAAATATGGTTTCGTTATTCTGTAATAAAATTTATGTAACGGGAATATCGTCTTCTTTTGATAAAACTTACAGGAATTGTACTGGATAGTTCTAGAAGATCCTACATTTCATTAAATGCCATCCAATATTTAAGCTTTATCGTGCATAAATTAATTTTACTAAGGCACGCCAATGTTTAAAAAACTTCGCATCTATATTAAAACAAATTTTTCTTGGCATGTTTATAACCAGGGATTTAAATTTTTGTAAAAAGTTCAATTTTAATAATTTCTGTGAGACTTTTTAGAAAAAATAATCTTCAAATAAAAGATTTAATGAACTTTAAATAGTATAAAGTTCCAGGTTTATGGTCAACTTGGTTAAGTTTAACTTTTATTTCTTCAAGATCTTAAAAATAGTTCGATTAAATGGAGAATAAACAGTAATTGGGCTTAAATTAGTGTTATGATTTGTCTTGAATAAATTATAGATGATTCTAACGTGTCGTTTGTTTAATGATCTCTGCATAAAAGTAATTTTTTAGATCGACTTTTGAATCCCCTAGCACAATCCCTATCTAGTCGTCCCTATGGCCCAGAGATCTTTTGTAGTATATATATCTTGGAATTCTGGCAATGGTCAGATTCTCCACTCAAGACATGAGTGTATGAGGCTAAAACGCTCTCGCTCAAACCCCACTGGCTTTAGCACCAGTGACGAGGTTGAGAGAGTAGCGCAGGGATCTCTTAAAGTTATGTTTTTCCTTCTATAGCTGGTGGGAGAAGCCGGCTTTGGGGTATCCTGCCTTATTGTTTATAGGTATGACTGTTTTTTTAATTTACTTATCTTTAGGTTATTTTATTTTTTATTGTACATAGTTTTTGATTCTTGTTTAGTTATTTCACTTTTGTTAATTTAATATTTTCTCTATATTTTTTGTCCACGTGACAGATTGTTATATTTCTAAATTAAAAAAAAAAAAAGAAGGACCGACTTTTTGACGAAATCGACAGCAATTTTAATTAAAAGTATTTTTTTTTTTAATTTGTATTCGCCTCTACCCTAGAGGGTCATTGGCGGTTTTTCTTAATTTTTATATTTTACTATAGTATTTAAAAGTATTTTAAAAATTGTGTAAATCTTTTAATTGAAAAGTTGCAAGGAAAAATTTCTATTTTCAAAAAATCTGAAAAATTATGAGTAGTAAAAATTCCGATAATACCAGACATTTATTTATTTTTTTTACCATTTAAAGCGCTGCTTATTGCTATTAGTTCTCGATTGGAGGATATCCAGAAAATAGTGTACATATAGTCTAATATTAATTTAATTAATTTCGTCTCCAAACCTTTAGGCCTACATGCCATGTCTAGTGATGGTTAAAAAATCTCTTATAAATCTCTTCAATCGAGACATGAACTTCTTAAGAGAAAAACTCATGCAATAAAAGTGATAATCTCTTGTTTGAGTGATTTAATAAATTGTATATTTTTAAATAATTTTTAAAATATAACCATATAATTAAGAAAAACTCGCGAGTCAGATGGAAGGTACTTTTGCTACGCTTTGGTACGCTGGCTGTAGTTTTGAGACCTTTGCATTAGATTATAAAATATGGTAGGCAGTGGACGTAAATAATGTGATGTTACATTTAAATGTGTAATGATTATATGAGTCAATGTATTTACAAACGTTTAACCGTCAAATAAATAAACTTTTAGTAATACCAGATTTAGGTAAATACTTATAATTAAATACCTACTTACGCTCAACACCTAATAAATTGTCCTACAATATTATTTCTTTAATTAATATATATCTTTCCGAATCACGTGGGTCGGTTATTATGTTGAAATGTTTTATTTACCAGCGAATAAAATACCATGCAATTACACTGATAAATTAGAATTGTTCAAGTAGGTTACTCAAATAGATATTAAAAATACTTGAAATTATTGGTGTCATTCACTGAAAAAACAACAGAAACATGTCTTCTATTATATTAATCTTTCAAGAGTGATTATTTTTTTTTATTTTGGCTTCACAGACGATGTAGATATTGTGCCACCTCAACGAATCTTCTCCAACTCTACCTGTTGTTTAACCTAAGTTCTAAGTTAACCTAAGTGTTAAGCTAAATCTAAGTGCTGTTGCTTTCCAGTTTTCTGCATGCAGTTGAGCAATATTTCTGTATAATCTATCCATCTCGATTTTAATGTTTTTCCATATGGTATCTTGCCAACTATTGAGGCATCCATTGTTGTGTAGATGCATTCTAATGGACAGCTCCAAGCTATATGTAGTATTGCCCAAATACAAGTTTTGCGAACTGTGTCTTGATCTCGGTCTTGGTCTTGCAGTTCTCTATTAGCTCATTGAATTAAACATGTTACTTTAGATCTTAGAAAAACGCTACAGATCAGAACTGGCTGTATTATATATTATAAACGTTTCAATTGAGGTTTTTATAGATATTTCGGAGTTTTCATACTTTCGAAAGAGATAAAAATCTTTGTTTTCAGTTTTTTACAGCCTAAAAAGTTTTAATCATAAAATCCTATTTTTCTAACCGACCCCTTAAAACTCTCTCTCCTCAGTACAATAGGCTCTACATGTGAGATCAAGGATTTCGTAAATAATTGTTGGCAAAATCTTTCACCCAGAGGTAAAGGACACCATTTCCATTTTTCCATTTTTTTTTTTTAATAAATAATTTGGTAACTAAGAAACAAATTTTAATATTTCAAATGCCGATAACACATGTATCCAATCAGTTAATAACGATCCATCTATTGCATCCCAAACTCTTCAATCACACATCACAATTCTTGAAAAATGTTATCAAAACTGGAGGATTAAAATAAATTCCAATAAATCCCATCAAATTACCTTTACTCTTCGTCGTAAACCTATGACTTCCTGTCCTACAGTATTCTTCAACAATAGCCCACTTATCCCTGTTGAACAAATCCGATACTTAGGACTCCACCTGGACAAATGACTAACTTGGAATCCTCATACCAGACTGAAACGACTAGAAACCGCTCGACGTTTCCGAGTACTCCAGTACTTACTACACAAACGCTCTAAACTTCCAACAATTTACAAAAGACTCATATATATTACTATAATAATAACATATAATAACAATCCCTTACTGCAGACTAGAATGAATTTCAGGAACATTTCCTTGATAATTTTTACCACATAATAGCAATACCCGAAACCTAGTTAAAACCTTTTATCCCTTACTCCCGGATTCCCCTACCCAATTATTCCTTCCTACTATTGTAATAGTATAGAAAAGTAAAATTGTAAAAAGTTACTACTGTAAATAAGTATATAAATTATTAGAGCGTTCTTCATTATTTTTATTTCATATTTATTTCCAATTTTTGTTTTTTATTTTTAACTGATCTAAATTAGTAACTTATAATTTTTTCTATTTTTTTTTATTTTGACTATTTAATCACTGTATATTTTTGTTTATGTATCTCTAAGGCTCCTTAGCCCATATTATTGTCTTTTTATATTATTCTAAAGGGACTCGTCCCAGAATAAATAAAGCATTATTATTATTATTAATAAGGCCTATTTTGACTTACGGGATCGAGCTTTGGTGCTCTACTAAACCATCAAATTCCTCTCGTATTTAATCCCTACAATCTAAAATCCTTCGTAAAATCCTCAACACTCCTTACTTTGTCACAAATAAAATCATCCATAATTACCTTAATGTACCATATGTTTCCGATTTAGCTCAATACAGATACCTGTCATTTCATAATAAACTTCTGAACCATCCGAACCCTCTTGTTTCCAACCTTGCTTCGTCTTCTATTCCTGATAACCCTCCGAGGCGCCTGAAAAGAAGATGGTCTCGGGACCTTCTAATATAGAACTTTAATTTGAGTTCTACCAATGGGTAGTTTCTCTTTCTGACTGTTGTACATGTCATGTTACTTGTTTATATTTATTTGTTGTATTTATTACTTAATACAGTTGTAAATTTCTTTAATAATATATATATATATATATATATATATATATATATATATATATATATATATATATATATATATATATATTAAATTTGTGAAAAATTGGCTTTCCCAAACAAATACAAAATGGAAGTGATGTTCTTATGAAATCGTTTCTTCTTCTACTTATATCTTCCAGTTCCATACCCAAGCATGGACCGGACGCCAGATACACCATCCATCCACCACAACCTTGTTCTTCCTCTTCTTCTTTTGCCTAATATTTCTTCCATGAGTATGTTTTTTGGGACCTGACACTCAGGC